GCATCTTTCTCTTTGACACCATGTCTGATATCCCACGTGATCTGTCAAATACTAATGCATGAAAATCCTAACCTCAAAAAAATCACCCGATACATATATGGGGACAGTAAGGTTTGCCCTTTTATCATGTAAAAATATACGTTACCACAACGAGTCGAAATTATTCAAATATACGACCGAAATTCGGAGTCAGTGACCTCAATTTTAAGAGCGCTACGTCCAATTTATGGTCGCCGTAATTGTCTTGTCAGATCAACATTTGGGCTTCTAGTGGAAAAATTTTAACCTACAGATACAGTACAAAATGTTCCCGTGGCAATGAGATAAAGAATTCAATTGAGGAAGACCCAAATCAGTCTATCATACGTCGTTCTCAAGAGTTGGGCATCTTTGTAACGTCGTTGTGGCGAAGTTTGCAAAAAGATCTTAATAAATCAAATTTACGCAAGAACTGAAGCCGCTTGACCACCAGAATCGTCATATATTCTGGCAGGTCAGGCAGCAAATCACACGTACTCCCTTAGTCACCATTGCATCCCGAAGTTTGATGCGGTTTATGGGCGGGCGGCGTCATTGGGCGTACTTTTTCCGTAATACTTAAAACTGGCACGTTGGCAATGATAACTGAATTTTATTTATTGAAATCCAAGTTCGGTGAATGTGTTATCTCACGAAATGGCTCCGTCAATTGATCGCCTCGGTCGTGAGATTTGACGCCTTTAGGCTATTTCCTGTGTGGCTACGTCAAGTCTATGGTCTATGCCAACAAGCCAGCGACGATCGATGAACTTCGTATGAATAAGTAACGTGAAATTGCAGCAGTATCGGTTGATTTATGCATGAAAACCGTCGAAAATTGGGTTCAACGTCTAGACTTCTGCAGGCGTTCCCGTGGTGTAGCGCTCTTATTGAAAAACCCGTTATTAGTTGTTGATTTAAGTCAAAGAAACCAGCTGCTTCGACGAGATTGAGATTCTTGACAAAGTCTTCCCGAGACGTAGATTTGAAAGGAAATACTGAGAGATACTTAATACATCGAGAGACTGTTTGCATACATTTAGTATGATAGTTAAACGTGGTTGCATCGGTTCCCACATTCCTACTGGGTAGCTATGGTCATCCTCACATTAATTGTTGCAATATTGGCTCTTCTAAGTTTCTCACCAATAAAGCTAAAAATACAAGCGCATATTTTTAATCTAATTCAAATTAGAGATTGTTGTCGGTATGTAAGGGTAACGTTAGTAAACGTTAAGTCAGTGGGCTTATCAATAATAATGAATTTGGAATACATTAGCTTTGAAGTACCGCAATCGATTACAGACAATTACAACATATATAATATATAAGTAAGTATATCTATTTATGCTCTTATACACTAAATTTCCTTGTTAAATATAATATATAATGGATTCATACCACACTGTATTAATTTATTTTATTTCTAACAAAAAGCCTAAGTACAAATATTCTTTTTAAATACAAAAACCTTACATAAAAAATCTATTAATTTGTTAATTAAATACAAAATAAAACTTTAAATTTGTTCAAGACTTTTTTTGCATTTTCACTCTTTGCTCGGCTCCACAAGCTTCTTCGGCATTGGTGACGCTGTGCTGTTGCCATTTTCGTGAATTACTCGAATCAAGCTTTTTGCATCACTCACCGCAACGCTATGCAACTTGACTGGCCGTGGCGTTGTGGCCCAGGCGCTGAAGTCAAAATGCTCTATTTCGCTACAATTTACGTAGCCGTTAGCGCTGTCTTTACTTTGTTTCATTACGTATTTCCGCACCTGTTGCACATCATCCGCATTCTGGCAAATGATCTTCGATAAAGTGACATTATATATCTGACGTAATTGCGCTGAAAATAACGGATTTAAAAGCCTAATGTTAATGGTGAGAGCTTGAAATGAAGTTTGTAATACTAAGAAGGAAACTTTATAATGCATATAGATCAATGATCAGCGTGACGAGTGGAGGCGATTAGCCATTTTCGTCTGTCTAATCCCTTTAGTTTTCAAATATCGCTTTATTATTTGCACACGCCCTTTTCTTCCGAAGAAGTAGAGGTACTTTTTTCAATAGCCTTTTTTTGACAGATACACGTGTGTTTCGCTCACTTCGCTTAGTTATAGTCAACATAATCGGCAACCCAACACACATCTTGAGACCAAGTATTAATTTCTAAATAATATTCGATCGAAGTCACCACCTCCAGTAGGCAGTTAAGAAAATATAACAGCCGTAACTGAGCAATGAGGCACATTTTCGGCTCAATAGATATGTAAACAAGCAAAGCACATTTGGTACAAAGAGGACCTACAGGGATTCAAAATATGACAACGATTTTGTGCGGTTTATGTGCTGATATTGATATCATCGGTCTCAACACCCGCGCCGTTAGTTCTGCTTTCTCCAGACTGGACAAGGAAGCAAAAAAATGGGTCTGGCAGTGAACGAGAGCAAGACGAAATATCTCCTGTCATTAAACAAACAGTCGTCGCACTCGCGACTTGGCACTCACGTCACTGTTGACAGTCATAGTTTTGAAGTTGTAGATAATTTCGTCTATCTTAGAACCAGCGTAAACACCACCAACAATTTCAGCCTGGAGATCCAACGCAGGATAACTCTTGCCAACAGGTGCTACTTCGGACTGAGTAGGCAATTGAGAAGCAAAGTCCTCTCTCGACAAACAAAAA